CGTGCCCTAGTCACCGAAGCCTAGTAATCTGAATTCGGTATGCTAGCAGGTTTATGCCTGACAAACTCCCAAACACACGACGGCTTACCTCCGCGTTACTAACCCGTTCGCTCCATCCAACGTGGGTGACAGCAACTAAACCACTGCCCCATGACGACATAATTCTCTGATAATGTGTATCCGCGATCTGTGGAGGTGACGGCCGCTCTTGTGTCCAAGACACGACGATAGTTTGTCGTCTGTATGTATGGCGGTGTTTTCGTAGCTAACAAAGGGTGAGGATTTTATCTGTGTAACCACGGCATATACGGACACCGGCCTGCTCTTCGCGGATTTGTCTATCGCGAAATGAGTTTAGTCTGCGTAATAAAACGGACGCTAACTGTTTCGACGCTATTGGAATCAGACTTATCCCCTTGTGGTTGGAACAGGCGTTGCGACAGTTCTTCTAGATGGGTGTAACAATCGATCCTCCCCACGTGTGGAGTACACTTAGTTTCCCAGATTTACGTGAACAGTCTCACAAGCTCTCACGAGAGCTCGGAGTTCCCTTCGGATCTCAACTCGTTTTTGCAGGCGGTTCGCATGGCCAAATCAGAAAGCATGGCGACGTCAAGCTATTAGCATCTCATATTTTTGTGAACACCAAATCGCATAGACAACTTGGCTCAAACCAGTTAGTTAGTATCCAATTATTCAGTAGTTAGTGTCCAAACAGGTAGATAAATACGAACGCCAGTCTTTCACACCCTCTCCATCTATAGCCAATATTTATATGATCAATCGGAGTCCACATCTATGTCGAAGAGGGGTCACACCAAGTGTCGAGGTGACGCTTTGTGTGTCTGAAGTTCGTGCTAACGAGGCTGAATTTGTTCCGAATAAGACCTGGAAAGACTGCATGACAACCCTGTTCAAGTTTGTCAATCACGTAGATCGCCTTAGGCGTCCTGGTTGGGACCTCTTGAATAATCCGAACAAAGCTCGGAGATACTGGGTGATAAAGCTGTTTCGTAAATAGTGGTGATCGTGAATTGACTCGCTTCCTACACAGACACTATTCCCCGGCCTTCTCTTTCGTGGTTTTGGTTGTAATCTTAGGTTTGGTTGTTTTTTCCATCTATTCTTGTCTCTCTTCGGTCGACTGATTGGGTGACCAATGGGCGGCCAAAAAGCAGCAACCAAAACCGGTGCACAAAATCGCGTGAATAATGGTTGTTTTATAACTAAACTGAACTGGCTTCGATCAAAATTATCGCACTAAAGTGCAGATCAAGTAGACAGATACTTCGGTGGTTCGTGCAACTGCTATCTTCTTCCCTTCTCGAAAGTCGGCATGACTAGTGAGTCCCTCCAGGATAACAGGACGCTCTGATCAGATGTTGAGTAAACCTGTGATAGAATCTACGGGAGGGTCATCCTCATCTTAAGATGATTTCAGAGAAGCTAGTCAAAATCGAATCCACCCAACGAATGAAAACATCTTACCGCTATTTCTGTTCAGAGTCCACATGTTATCATCTCCGGAGCTTCATCTGCAATCGTCAGAGTAACCGCGCTAACCGCTGTATCGAGTGGTCAAATCGCTTCCTCTTATCGTAGATTCCTATCCACTTTCATCGTAGATATGTTTTTTCTGACCGGGATTCTATGGCCTTTTAGGTTGCGAATCACTACACGCGTAAGGTACTACCACCACTAGTACTCTTCTTCTCATCATTTAAAATTTAATTTGTTTTCATTCACTGTAGGTCGACTGATGAAACGAATATCAGCATAAACAATCCCTCATCATGCTCGTAGTAATTAGTGAAATAAGCTTGTTTTTCTTTCGTTCTGTCTATATTGAGCTAATTTTGTCAACTTCACCACGTGCATTTTTATCGTACAGCGTGTTAGCCAAATGTGTATCTTTCGAGGTGTGTGACAGTTAAACTACGTGGATTGACTCGGTATACCACTTCGTTAACATGACTTCACTTTTTTCCTGCAGGTTACTTCTACCCTACATTGAGCCATTATAATAGTCCATCAAGCCGGTTCTTCGAAATAAAAGTTGATGTTAATCATTCACTTCAATTTTTCGTCCTACCGAAAAGCGGCAACACATCGAAACCTCTAGTCGGTATGAGGCGTGAATCCTCACTGCCCAAGTAAGACAGTATGTCAGTATTATTTATTTTTAGACGAATCGGTCGTCGGTGGTGTTTGAATGATTTGGATATTGGGAAGAAGCTCGGCGAAGGATGCTTTGGCTCAGTCTATCTTGCGCGTGAGAAAGAAAGCCGCTTTGTAATTGCACTCAAGGTGATAGATTTCTCTACGTGGACATTCTTGTAGATGTTGTCCAAAGCAGAAATACTCACGAGGGAACTGATGCAACAAGTCCAGCGGGAAATCGAAATACAGTCACATCTTAAGTACGATTTTTTTACCATATTTTACAAATCACAGACACCCCAACATAGTGAGACTGTACAGCTACTTCTACGACAAAAAAAGGATATTTCTAATGCTGGAATATGTTCCGAAGGGCGAATTGTCCAAAGAACTAGCTCGGTTTCATTGTTTGACCTCATCACGGGCTGCAACGGTGAGTTTGACATGACAGTTGCTGGAAGCCTTTTTGGCCAATCGCTTCATGGTTAGTAGGCTTCACTTACATTGATTACCTCTGTTTTGGGTAAATACCGTTTTTTCAACCATGAAGTTGGTCGATTTGTTTTTTTAATAACCAAATTGAATGCCGTCTCCAACTTAACCGCATTGACAAACAAATTTGGAAACAAAAAGCAAAGATACTGTTTAGTACATGTGAGAAAATCTCATCACCATCATACAGCGGGATACAGTGTAGCGAGCTTCGCCGATCACTGCCAACCTCATAGTATACACGAAGGCAGCCCGATAACACNTCAAGCCTAATTTTAAGCAGGCAGAGAAAGTGCACCTTCATAGTCAACTTACAGAGTACATAAACTAACTGTGTATCCGTATCTTTGCTAGCATTTTAACCTGATCCGAGGTGAAAACAAGAATACCACTGCTGTCGGTTGACTGCAATATCCTCCAGTGTCTTCAACCGAACAGTTTCAGAGTCTTTTA